CAGTGTCAGAGTAGTTAATAGATGGAATGCATTAGGCAGCGATGTGGTGGAGGCTGACTCCATACACAGTTTCAAATGCAGATATGATAGAGCCCAGTAGGCTCAGGAATCTGTACATCAGTTGATTGCCAGTTGAGAGGTGGGACCAAAGAGCCAGAGCTCAACCCCCGCAACCACAACTAGGTGAGTATACACACAAACACACACACGTACACACACACACACACGTACACACGCACACACACACACACACGCACGCACACACACACACACACAAACATACACACACTAATGCCTCTATTCACCTTGCAGTAAATAGGAACCTGAAAGTCAGGAAGCTGCTAAAGGCTGCATCCTGGGGATGTGTGTGTGTGTTAGATAAAAGTATATGTTGTTTAGATATGATGGAGGAAAAGAGGCCGAGAGTCGGTACATTAGACAACAGACGCTTAGAAAGGCGGGGTCCAAGAGCTGACAGCTAAATTTTGGAAATAATAAATTAAAATATTGAATACACACACTTACATGTTTCACATGAATTTGGCTGAGGGCTGATGGCCCCGTCGACGGGGCAGGAAGTCGGCGGTTGATCAAAGGCCTCCCACATCCTCCACATACCTGAGGATTTTTCCGGCTTAATTTTAAAGGGAAGTAATGTCTTGGCATTTACGGCTTCAGCGGGTGGGTGGGTCCGTGGGTTATTACACTATGAGCGAAAACAATCGCCTATTCTGTATTTTATATTGCCGCTTGTAGAGCTAGAAGCTGTTGCCTCTTGTGTGCGTTGCACAAGGGGATTAATATCTGGATTAATATTTTTCAATATTTCCAGTATTTTTAAAGGTATCGCTCAAATACCGAAGATACTGTTATTGGACACCGCTTAATTGACAATGTCTCAACAACGCAGGCTGAAGATGTGCGTGGCTCCTGCTATTGCAATGATGCTCATTTGTTTTTCAATGATGCGCCTTAGTTGCCCCCTCTCTAACTTACCGTTCTAAATACCCCTTCTTCATCTTCCGCAAACATTCCCCCTCATACATCTTCCCCCTTTCCTCCTGTCCCCCCTGTCCATCTTTGTCCCCCTGTCCATCTTTGTCCCCCTGTCCATCTTTGTCCCCCTGTCCATCTTTGTCCCCCTGTCCATCTTTGTCCCCTGTCCCTCACTTTGTCCCCTTGCCCACATTTTCTGTCCTCTGTCCCCGATCCCTTTCCCCCCTCTCTGTCCCCTGTCCCCCTCTCCCCCCTTTCCATCTCTCTGATCCCTGTCCCTCTCTATCCCATTGTCCGTCTCTCTGTCCCTCTGTTCTTCTCTGTCCTCCTGTTCCTCTCTCTGTCCCCCTGTCACTCTCTGTCCCCCTATTCCTTTATGTCCCCCTGTCCATCTCTCTGTCCCCCTGCCCACTCTTTCTGTCCGCTGTCCATCATCTGTCCCCTTCCCTTTCCTCCAGTCCCCCTATCCATCTCTGTCCCCTTCCCTTTCCTCCAGTCCCCCTATCCATCTCTGTCCCCTTGTCCCTGTCTCTCTTCCCCTGTCCCTATCTCTGCCCCCTGTCCCTCTCTCTGTCACCCTTTCTGTCCCCATGTCCGCCCTTTCTGTCCCTGTCCTTCTCTGTCTGTCCCTGTCCCTCCCTTTGTCCCCCTGCCCACTCTTTCTGTCCCCTGTCTCTCCTCTGTCCCCTCTCTCTTGGTCTCCTGCCCCCTCTCCTCCCTCTGTCCCCCGGTCCCCCCTCTCTGACCCTGTCCCTCTGTCTCTGTCCCTGTGTTCCTGTCCCTCTGTCTCTGTCCATGTCCCCCTCTCTGTCCATGTCCCCCTCTCTGTCCCTGTCTCCCTCCCTGTCCCACTGCCCTCCCTCTGTTCCCCCGTCCCTCCTCTGGCCCTGTCCATCTGTCCCTGTCCCTCTGCTCCTGTCCCTGTCCCTGTCCGTCTGTCCCTGTCCCTGTCCCTGTGTCTCTGCCTCTCCTCGTTTCTGCCATTATCTGTGTCAGCCTATCTCTCTGTCTCTTTCCTCGCTCTATCTCTGTCATTCTCTCACTGACTTTGCATATCCTTATCTATCCGTCTCTGTGTCTAGCATTCTTTCCCTGACTCTGTCTATATCTATTTCTCTGTCTCGGTCTTCATTTCTTTCTCTCTCTCTCTCCTCTCCTTCTCTCTCTCTCTCTCTCTCTCTCTCTCTCTCTCTCTCTCTCTCTCTCTCTCTCTCTCTCTCTCTCTCTCTCTCTCTCTCTCTCTCTCTCTCTCTCTCTCTCTCTCTCTCATACATACATACATACATACATACATACATACATACATACATACATACATACATACATACATACATACATACATACATTTATTTAACACATGTGGTACACGCACAAGGGGACACAGGTGGAAGCTGAGTACCCAAATGTGCCACAGAGAGATTATAGAAAGAACTTTTCAGTGTCAGAGTAGTTAATAAATGGAATGCATTAGGCAGTAATGTGGTGGAGGCTGACTCCATACACAGGTTCAAATGTAGATATGACAGAGCCCAGTAGGCTCAGGAATCTGTACATCAGTTGATTGATGGTTGAGAGGCGGGACCAAAGAGCCAAAGTTCAACCCCCGCAACCACAACTAGATTAGTACATACATACATAAGATATAAATCAGTGGAGGATTCCCAGGTAGAACAATCAACCACAATGCCCATTACCCCTTTACCCTGTTGTCCTTAACTACACAACTATGGTGTCTATTAACCTTGTTTAAATTACTAATCAAGCTGTCAATGTAATCAATCAGAGCTTTAATATAACAATATGCTTTAATATACCTACTTATCTCTCTCATCTCATTTTTCTCTTGTAATGTATCTTTATCATTTATCAATTCTGATTGAAATTACCTACTTAAAATTATCTGCTAGATTAAGGACCTGCCCGAAACGCTGTGCGTACTAGTGGCTTTACAAGAATGTAAATACTGTACTATCCAATGTATTCTCACAAACCCAATGTACCTTCTTGTATATATATAAATAAATAAATAAAACTATACAAGAGTCATTAACACGTATAATGGCTGATCCCCCATCACGATAGCATGGGGACCAATTGCCTGACCCGCAGTCTGTCTTGCTCCTCAAATAATTTTCGGGTTAACATGAAAACATCTCTCGAGTTTATCTCTCTAATGTTGTTTTCCCATCTTTCATTTTATCAGCTTAGTTCCTTTATTATGCCCTCAATTACTCATCCATTGAGCGGTAGTTAAACTGAACCCAAATTTAAAAAAAGTTCCTTTTGCTAAGCAAGCTACAGTCTTGATAAGTCAGATATATTGTTTGTTAACACATTTCTCAACAATGAACAGTCAGTTTTATCAAGCTAACATATCCTAACACAACGAGTGAGAGTATTAACTGGTCTAATTATTTTATTAGACCAGTATATATTATTAGATTATACTGGTATAATTATATATATATATATATATATATATATATATATATATATATATATATATATATATATATATATATATATATATATAAGTTTTCATATAATATATTTTCTCTAATATATATATACCCATATATATATATATATATATATATATATATATATATTATATATATATATATATATATATATATATATATATATATATACGACATATATATATATATATATATATATATATATATATATATATATATATATATATATATATATATATATATATATATATATATATGTACATGTATGTATGAGTGTGTGTACATGTGTATACAACATTAATAATTTTGTAACTAGCGTCAAACATTGTTATTTGCTTAGCTAAACGAACTAGAGGGTTCAGTTCCTGAACCGATTATGTGCCTCTGTAATCCTTTACACCACCGCCCACGGGATGGGTATGGGGTGCATAATAAAGAAAGAAATTAAAATTGCATAATACGGTTATTGACATTCAATAATAGTAAGATAAAGCAATGAGGACCAAATGGGAGACCAGTGATCAGATGAATATTACAGACTCAAGGGTAGCCTTCTCTTCTTGTATATAAATGAAAAAATAAATTCGTTTGTTTAATTCTAATGCTTGTAGGCGAGAACAGTTGTGAACGCCAGCTAGCGCACAAGTACATGAGCGCCCACAATACTTTTACACAAAAGACATGTACAGACAGGCGTGTGGCTTCTGACTTCTTTTTTATTAATATTAAATATTAGGCGCTTACCTATAATAGTTATCATTTTATACATGTATAACTCTCACATAATAAATATAAAAGGAGTTTATCCAAAAACTGACAGAAGTGTTGTGTTTTGTGCGTTGTATCGTGTTTGTGGGCATTCGGGTGTGTTGTGTTTACGCTGGCGGGCGGCGTCCTTACCAACTCCGGATTATGTCTATTACATCACTAAACTTCATTTAATAACTATATGCCTGTTAAGTAGAAGATTTTAATTGTTAATAGCATGATATTGTCGTTTTAATATGGAACACGTACACATATGCGAAACGTCGAAAGCTGATGTCCGAAGTGGTAAAAATATTAGTGTGCGATGTTGTCAATGTACGGAGTGTCTTGTATCCGCTCCAACGGGCAGCATGTTGCTCGGACCGCGGCCAGGAGGCGTCTGCTGGGGCGGCGAGGCGCGCCTCGTTCACGGCGGAGAGATAACAACCCAACGAGCCTCTTAATAATAATAATAATATAATAATAATAATTTTTATTTATGTAAGGTACATACATAAAGAGATTTTACAAAGTTTGTTGGGTTAATAGATAGAGCTAGTACATTTATGCAAGAGTGCCGATCAGCTGGTAGGATCTCGTTTCGTACTTTAACTTTCGATCTCATTATTTCGCCGATAAAATTTAATCCTACTAACTATATATATTTGGTATAATATAAATCAACACTAGAAATATGTATGACACTTTCTTATTATATGTCGTGCGTTAGATAAGGAGTTTTAAAATACGTGTACGTACGTAAATGTCTCATGTACGAAGTGAGTTGTGACTTCCAGCTGAGTGTCAACAACAACAGAACACAGTGAGGTGTTGCGTCAGGCGGGTGTGTTCCCCCTGCAGCTACCTCTCTCCACTACCTGTACTCTTCCTAGTTAAGCTTGGGCTCAATGGTCCTCCCCCTCTCAACCGTCAGTTATGTATGTACAGGTTTCCGATCCTTTTGGGCTCTGTCATATCTATAAATCCATCAGCGTTTTGTATCTCACCTTGTATGTATGTACTTTACCTGAATAAATATTTGATTTGATTTTGATATACTGTATTTGAAACTGAATGAAGTCTGCCTCCACCACTTCACTGCTTAATGCAGTGAAGATTTGTACATTTCTTAAAACAAACAAATTTTATCTGTACTGTATTTTATATTTCTATTTAATGAGATTTTCAATGTTTTATTTTTTCAGTATTTTATTTCAGAGACAGGCTCATGAGTGAGCTAGCAAGTTTTATTTCTCTGCTGTTAGAATGCACAATCTTGGATCATGATCCATCTGTCTTCAAAAATCATTAGCAGGCTGGGAGTTGCTGCTACATTTATATTGTATGTATTGTATAATATATAGTACAGGGGGTACCTCGGTTTAAGAGTTTAATATGTTCCTGGAGACGGCTCGTAAGCCGAAAACTCGTAAACCGAAGCTATTTTTCCCATAAGAAATAATGGGAAATGAATTAATCCGTTTCTGACTACCCAAAAACTCACTTTAAACTAAATTTTATACCTAATTCATCGAAATATACACTACAAAACTATGTTCAAGTTATTACTTACCCTTGTTGATGACTGCTGTTGGCATATGGAAGATGGTGAGGAGGAGGAGGAGAGGTGTTACTGTTTGGAAGGGGAGTCCCCCTCCATTATAACATCAGGCAGTGAGGACCTCTCTGGGGTGCACTCTCTGGCATGTTTTGCTTGCATACCACTAGTTCCTGGTTGTAGCTCACTGCTCGATTTTCTCACAACTCACAACAAATCTGTCCATGGAAGATTGTTTTTCCATTTTTTGCAAGATGTCTCTGTAGTGAGGCATCACATTGTCATTGAAAAGATTAATGCAATGGCCTACTACAGCTTTCTCTGGATGAGTCGTTTCAATAAAAGTTTGCATCTCTTCCCACATCTGACACTACTTCTTAATGGCTGCAGAAGGGACATTCGTTGCTGCCTCATCCTCCTCCACTAGAGAAACATTCTCAGTTGTGTCTTCTTGCTGTTCCTTTTGAAGAGCTTGGAGTTCTTCGGTGGTCAGTTCTTCATTGTGTGCTTCCACCAACTCCTCCACATCATCACCATCCAATTCCAAGCCCATTTGCCGGCCCAGAGTAACAATTTCCTCAACAATAGGCACATCATTTACAGGCTCAAACCCCTCAAAGTCTAGTTCTGTCACACATTCAGGCCACAATTTTCTCCAGCCAGAGATCAGGGTTCTTCCCTTGAGGTTACCTTGAGGTGCTTCCGGGGCTTAGCGTCCCCGCGGCCCGGTCGTCGACCAGGCCTCCTGGTTGCCGGACTGATCAACTAGGCTGTTGGACGCGGCTGCTCGCAGCCTGACGTATGACGTATTCTTTGAGGTACTTCTTGCCAGGCTTTGTCAACGAGTTTTAAAGCACTACAAATGTTAAAATTGTGTTTCCAGAACTCTTTGAGGGCGAGTTTTGTGGCTTCAGTCACTTCAAAACATTTCCTGAAAAGTGCCCTTTCATGAAGTTTCTTAAAATTCGTTATGATTTTCTGGTCCATAGGCTGAATTAGAGGAGTGGTGTTAGGTAGGAGGAAGGAACTTTACTGTGAGAAATTTACTGTATCTGTGCAACAATTCATCTTCCAAGCCTGGAGGATGAGCAGGAGCATTATCGAGGAGAAGCAGGGGCTTGAGTGGCAAATGTTTTTCCTGCAAATATTTTTCTATGGCAGGGCACACCACTTCATTCACCCACTCCGAAAAAAAATCCTAGTCACTCATGCCTTATTATTAGCCCTCCACATCACACTCATTTGGTTTTTCTGCACTTTATACTGTTTGAATACCGTTGGATTTTCAGAATGATATACTAGCAAGGGTTTTATTTTCAAATCGCCACTTGCAATTGAACACAGCACAAGCGTAAACCTATCTTTCATAGGCTTGTGTCCGGGCAATGATTTTTCCTCGGTAATGTATGTCCTCTTAGGCAATCTTTTCCAGAACAGTCCTGTCTCATCACAATTAAACACCTGTTGCGGTAGGTATCCCTCAGCCTCCTGCAAACTCTTTAAATTCTTCAATAAATCTTTCAGCCGCTGGTTTGTCTGAGCTGGCAGCCTCCTCATGCCTTACAACACTATGAATACCACTTCTTTTTCTAAATTTCTCCAACCATCCCCTGCTTGCCTTAAAGTCTTTCATATCTGCACTCGTTCCAGGGGTTTTCTTTAGAAGGTCTTCGTGCAATACCCTGGCTTTCTCACAAATGATGGCCTCTGAAACAATATCACCTGCTAAATCCTTGTTGTGTATCCAAATTAATAACAACTTTTCCACTTCCTCAAGTATTTGTGGTCTTTGTTTCTTGATTGTTGAAACTCCTTTTGCCACTTTAGCACTCAAAATGTCCTTTTTCTTGGCAAGTATAGTGCATATCGTTGACGTGGATTTGTTGTACTCCCTACAAAGTTCAACAACATGTGTACCACTTTCATGCTTCCGAATGATATCTTGCTTTTTCTCTATTGTCATCCTCACATGCGATTTCTTGCCTTGAACTTTATCACTGGCTTTCTTGGGACCCAATGCGATATATATAACAACAAATTTTATGCTCAAATAGCAAAAAATCCAAAAATAAATGGCAAATCGTTGTGAAGAATTCAGCCGGGATAGTCACTGGGCGTGAGGCACTGGTAAACTGAGCGGCGATCGCTATACCACCACGCGCTAGGTTGGCCCGTACACATATCAACACCCTCGTATCCTGATACAAATTTTCCGAGCAAATCCTGCTCGTAACCCAAAAAACTCGTAACCAGGGGAGCTCGTAAGCTGAGGTACCACTGTATTTCAGTTATATGTTTATTCATGAAAAATATTTTCTGACTTTTTAGCCTTTGCTCAGCAACTTGATCCATGAAAGATAATGTTTATGTAGATTTTATTAGATATAAACATTGTTCTTTATTCTAATCATTACTTAGTTTGACAAATAATTCCAGGGGAACAGTAGCTGGCAACCAGTTCAGAAAACATAGAGAAAAAGTATTGGTAGATTCAGGTTAGTACTGTACAATACCTGTTCCTGTATACTGTACTGTATTTATGGAAAGGCTATTAATCCTGAAAAAGCTCTTAAAAGTGTACTTTATTTTGACGAATATAATTTCTGGCCTTTATTATTCTTTATCGTTATTCCAAGGTATATTGATACTGTACCCATTAAGATCATAGCCTAAGGATCTACAGCCTTTAATTACCTCCTATGCATAATTACTCAACATAAATCAGAACAATAACAAACTCTAGTCCCAGACACCATTCTGCTCCCATACTGGAATCTTTGAACATGTTTAATAGCAAGTCATCGCACATACCCTAAAGTGTAGTCTATATCTGTAAAAGCAGTGCTAATCCTGACCGTAAGTGCTTCCTAGAGGGCTATAATAGAGCCAATGGGCATCACTCAGGAAACAAATATCTTTTTGATATTTCTTAGAGTGAAAATCGACCAAAGCAGAAATGTTAAGCAAATCAAGGATCCCAAATTGTGGAATGGCTTCCCAAATGTAATTAAAAGCTGTATGACTCTCGGCCAGTTTATACAACAGATTAAAAAATATTAACTTAAATATCATGCAAATGATTACACTTACCATTGAAAAAATAATTTTTGAGTCTTAAATGTTACTTACTGAAATGTGTACCTTTCTTCATTGTGTCATCTAATTAATGTATCTATTTTTGTTTGTGTACTGTAAGTATTGTTAATAAACATACAATTATCAATATAAGGGTGATATAAGTATCACTCTTATATATTTAAGTGTTCACCTCATTAAATCTTTCAATTTTACTAATTTACTGTGTTATGTTTTGGTGGATTTACTTAAATATATCTTTGTATTTCCTTTGTTATTAATACAGTACTGCTAAAACCTACTTCTGTATTGTTAATAAACTAGAGATTCCAAAATATTATAATTCAATTTGTGTCATCAATATAAGGGTGATATAAGTATCACTCTTATATTGTATTATATATTTATATTTCTTGAACGTCCCACATATATTAGCTTACTTTTCAATTAGTATTAAGTGTTTACACCATTATACCTATAAGTACTGTAATTTTTATCTGGTCTACTGTAAGTTTTGCCCGAAACACTTTGCTAGTACGGTAGCAGCTTTATTTATCGTGCAACCCCTGTACCTACAATTGTACCTTTTTCTTATGTTCTCTGTATGCACATTCTTAAGAAAGAATTATTATTATTATTATTATTAGTATTTATTTATTATTAATTAGTTTCATTATATGATACCAATCCTATAAGGACTATAGCAGTCTTGCAACACCATTTAAAGATGCTTAACAGTTACTGGATTCGAGCTATCTTGCCAGGATAACAGGTTTTCTCAGGGGAGCCGTGTCGGCTTCCTGGAGCTAACTGGGCTGATATGAATGTATTAGACCCTGGCATCAGTCAATGCACATAGAGTTTTAGGCCTACCTGGGACTACGAGCCAGAACCTGGCCCCCTCAGAGAGGCACAAGGAGCAATGGCCTATTGAAACCCCCGTGTAGTTGGAAGCATTCTGTCTGCAATCGACTGGGTCAGGCACCCAGAAAGGTAAGCACCCCCAAAACAAACCCCCTATTTTGGTTAAAATATTGCTACTGAAAGCTGAACTATTGGACAGAACTCCCCAAATGAAAACGAGCAGACGAGCATGACGTCACCACGACGCTGTCTGCGCATCCCCCCCCCCCCTCCCCGGGAGGGGGAAGGGAGGAGCCCCAGACCCCCGTGCCGGCTATCCAAATCCCTAGTTTTGTGACTGATGGGAACTGGCAAGGTCGTGCACCTGAGGCTCCTGTGTTTTTCCAGTTCTGTGCCTTGTGGTGTGGAGGGTGCACACACCTGTCTACTTGGGGTGCACGAGCCAGGAGTAATTTCACAAATACTCGGGCTGCATGTGCCTAGGGTCGTCTTCCCTAGGTGCCCTGTAGGTACTGCCCTTAAGGCTTGGGGCCAACTTCCACATCACCTTGGGGTCTACCTCCTGGTCCTGCCTTTGCCTGTTTCTGGGGGCCTCCCAGATCACACGGCAGTTTCTTGAAGGTTTGTGCAGGAGCCTGAACTTTGCCATAATAGTCTACCCATCAAGTTGGGTTTGGCTTTGTCAGCTGTTCTGATCCTACGGGAGCGTCCCTTCCGCCTCTCTCGCGATTGCTGGGTTCGGCCTCTGAGGCCTCGTGTCGGCTGCTGCATAGCCGGCTTCCTTTTCAAGTTTTTCGGGGTTCAGTGCCTTGGTGCCTACCCAAGCCCTCGCTAAATGTGTTCACGGACGCGTCATCTCTTGGCTGGGGCTTTGTGACCAGTGCTCATCAGGCTGGCCAGGAACAGTGGGGGTCCGTTCTTCTGTCAGGCCCACGGCACGATACGGGAGTTCACTGCAGTGTGGATGTCGATTCGGAGGGTTCGATGCGGTCCTTGGCTCTTTGGGGCTGGTCGCTTCGGATGACTTGTCTGCTGAGGTCTTGGGGTTTGGCTCTCCTGGCCGTTCATGGTCGGGGGGGTGTCCAACATCTTGGCGAATGGCGTGTTTGTTCATTCCCCTGTCCATGGAATGGACGGTCGACACTGACTTGTTCAGTTACCTCTGCCGGACGTACGGGCTCCCGGAGGTGGACCTCTTCGCCTCGACCATCGGCATGGTCGGGGCGTCTCCTGTTATATATGGTGCCCTTCCCAGACTATGAGGCTGTCGGGGTTGATGCCTTCAAGCAGGTCTGGTCAAGGTGGGGTTACCTGTACCTCTTTCCCCCGGTTTCGTCTCGGTGGTATCCACTCGATTTAACGGCCTATACGGGGCTGTACCCAGGTCTTTAAATGTGGGGCTCTGGTATTTCCGAAGTTGTTAAGTGTCGGTAATATTTCAAGTAACATTCAGGTAAGATATATTTTGTACAGGCAGCCACTTGGTCCACCACTCTAGTGCCATCTACCCTGTGATGTCACTGATTCACAGCACATTGTTTTGATTTGTCATGAGGCTGGAGTGTTCATTCTTTGTTGGAGGGTAGCCAGATTTGTTTCTTAAGTTTTGGTTGTACATCATATATATTTCTGGGGGGGGGAGCCGGATCAACCCACAGCGCATCCACGGACACAGAAGCCGTGGCGCGCAAATAACGGCGGAGAGCCACAAAATACACAAAACATGATGAACCCCCGACCGAACCAACCAAGCATCAACCCAAGGGCCCCTCCGGAACGCAGCAGTCTCATTCTTCATCAGAAAAGAAGAAGGCTGCAGACAAACAAAACGATCACCCCGACTGAAGGAGCAGAAACCTCTGCGCCGGAGGAGAGCATGAAGCTCACCCACCCGACCCCCAGAGGCCAATGTCAACAGGAAAAGAGCCTTCGAAAAACAAGCCGGAACTGAGGGGGGCCACAACAAAACGAGGAGAAGAAAGAAAAGAGCACTGTCCAAAGACCAGGACAGCTCAAGCAGCGCAAGAACAGGCCGGAAATGAAATAAGCACGAGACAGCTTATGAACGGCTGCTGCAGCTTGCGCTTGGCATTGATGTTACTTCTGCACTGTTCTGCGAGCTGTCTCATTCATTGTTTCACCTCCGGCCTGTTCATGCACTGCCTGAGCCGTCCTGGTCATTGGATCAGAAAGCTTATTTGGCTTTCTCTCTTCTCCTCGGTTTGTGGTGGGCCCCCTCAGTTCAGGATTGCTTGGCGAAGGCTCTTTTCTTGTTAGTATTGGCCTCTGGCAGTTGGGTTGGGGAGCTTCATGCTCTCCACCACCACAAGGGTTTCTGCTCTTTTGGTCCTGGTTGTAGGTTTCTTCGTCACGCCGTTACCAGTGCGCCACGGCCTCAGTGGCCAGGGACTTGCTTTGTGTTGATCCAGTTTCTCTTTTTCCCTGTTCCAGGGTTTGGGTCGCCTAGGTTATCCACAGGGTAATTTGGTCCAGCTAGTTTGAGGTACAGCCTTGTGCCCACGACATTCGTAAATTTGCTGCGCTTGCTGCTGTCTTCGGTAACATGTCTTGGGCTGACATCCGGGCACAGGGTTTTTAGAGGTCGAACAGGGTCCTGGCCACTCGCTACCTTGTCAATGTTCCTGGGCCTAGTCGTGCCTGTGTTGCTTTGGGTCGGCGATTGCAGCCAGTTGTCTAGACTTCACGTGGAGGAGCAAGGGCCAACCTCCTTCCGGGTAAGCCCCTCTTGTTTTTGTATTTGGGTAAGTAGCTCTGGGGGGCTGATGGGGCTCTCCCCAGAAAACCAGCATTGAATGTAATGAAACGCCATTTTCTGGGCGAGACCCGAAGGCTCCTCGGTAACCCTCCCTCCCTCCCTTCAGTTGGCGTTTGTTTTGTGCGTTTTGATATCCAGCCTCAGAACTAGGGGTTTGGATAGCCGGTGCGGGGGTCTGGGGCTCCTTTCCCCTCCAGGGAAGGGTGGGAGTTGCGCAGACAATGGCACGGTGACGTGGTGACATAATGCTCGTTTGCTCGTTTTCATTTGGGGAGTTCTGTCAACTAGTTCGGCTTTCAGTAGCAATATTTTAACCTAGAGGTTTGTTTTGAGGCGCCAAAAATTTTAATTTCTGGATGCCTGACCCGGTCGATGGTAGACATAGAATGCTTCCAACCATATTGGTTTCCATAGGCCATTGCTCCTCGTGCCTCTCTGAGGGGTCCAGGTTATGGCTCGTGGTCCCCGGTGGGCTTGGAACTCCATGTGGATTGACTGATGCCAGGGTCTAATACATTCATATCAGCCCGGTTAGCTCCGGGAAGCCTAAGTGTCTCACCCAGAAAATGGCGTTTCATTACCTTCATCGCTGGTTTTTTAAAAGAGTTTGTTCTCAAGCCCATACAGATTGAGCCACAGAGGTATTGCATACCTGTCTGCCAATATAAGGCTTTTGCTAGTCTTATCACCAGTCAGAGCAAATAAATTATTACTCATAACTCATGCCAGGTGGCAGCACTGCTGTGAGGAGACCCTGTCCTGCCTCACATGCATCCTGATTTCTAATGGGAAGTTAGCATGCTGGGATCAATTATAGGGTTAAATCTTGACCATTTTACCAAAGTGTGGTTTCCTTGGCTGAGCACTCGAGTTCTTTCAAGTTATGAAGCCTTCTTAATCTTGGGTCTTGATCACTTGCGTGTCCCTGTTACATGACTGGCTATTTTCTCGGCATTTTATCTGAGCTGGCATAGGTCTCCAGCAGTAAAGCTATAGACTGCCCCACTTTTTCACTCTGGTGTAGTTGATCAGTGTTTCAGTGTTTAGCGAGACAATTTCCTGAGGCTGCATTTTGAATGGATGACTTTGTAATGAACTTCTGCTCTTCCTTCTGGACTGGTTACAGGTTTTTGATCAGTGTTCCTGTGTTCATTTGACACCATCTGACGGTTCTCCTCTGATTCCATTATCAGCTTTTGGGGAACCATCTAACAACAATCTAATGAGTTACAGTGCTGCTTAAAATTAGGTGTTTGTGCATGAATGTGATTTCCTTTTGATGTTATTTATATACAGTGGTACCTCAGCTTACGAATTTAATCCGTTCCCAAAGACGGTTCGTAACCCGAAAATTTGAATACCGAAGGGAAGTTTCCCATAAGAAATAATGTAAATTGGATTAATCCGTTCCACACTCCCAAAAATATTAACTTCAAAGTAAATTTTATACCTAATTCACCCAATTTTTTAGTACTAAAGTATGTACAAGTTATTGCTTACCTTTATTGATGACTCTTGTTGCCGTATGGAAGACAGTGAGGAGGGAGGGGAGGAGGAGGAAAGGTGTTGGTGTTTGGAAGGGGAGTCCCCTTCTTTTATAACATCAGGCAGTGATGACTTCTCTGTGGTACTCTCTCCCCTAAGTTTTGCATTAGTACCACTAGGACCTGGTTGTTGCTCACTGCTTGCTTGTTTTACTAAGAATCTGTCTAAAGACACTTGTTTTTCCCTACATTTTAACACTTGTTTGTAGTGCGACATCACATTGTCATTTAAAAGGTCAATGCAACAGCCTGCTACAGATTTATCTGGGTGAGTTTTTTTCAACAAAACTTTGCAGTACTTCCCATACTTCACACATTTTCTTAATGAGGAAGGGACATCTTCTACTGCCTCTACTCACAACTATTTTCTTAGGTTAAACCTTACCACCGACTTTCTTGGGACCCATGGCCAGATATATAATAATTACCTTATGTTCAAATACCCAAAAATAAAAAAAGTGAAATTCTTTACAAAGAATTCAGGCATGATTGTCACTAGGCAGGAGGCACTGGTAAACTGAGGCGCAGTCGCCGTGCCACCACGTGCTAGGTCGGCCATACGCGTATCAACAAACTACGTTACCCGAGGCAAAGTTCGTAACCCGATTCGGATTTTACGAAGAAATTGGGCTCGTAATCCGAAAAGTTCGTAAAGAGGGGCATTCGTAAGCCGAGGTGTCACTTCGATTTACGATGGTAATCCGTTCCCAGGGACGCATCATAAGTTGAATTATTGTAAATCGAAACGATCTTTCCCATAAGAAATAAAGGGAATTAAATTAATCCGTTCCACACACCCCAAAAATATTAACTTAAAAATACATTTTATACTGAATTCAATTTTCTCTAACTACAATAGAGTACATATGTTTATCTTACCTTTATGGAGGACTCTTGATGGTGTATGGAAGATGGTGAGGAGGGGGGGGGGGGGAGGAGAAGTGTTACTGTTTGGAAGGG